CGCTGAGTAGCGACCTTCCAGGTGGGGAGCCGATTGCCAGAGTCTGAGGGATCGAGCTTCCGCTCATATCCATGAGGCGTCGGCACCAGATTCTAGCTGGAACTGGTTGTGGAGCTGACCAAAGCCTGTAGCGAGGCTGGGGAGTGTGTGTTCCGCCGACCTGCGATTCTAGTCAGTATGTGTGGCTCAGTCAACAATGGAGGTGAAGACGGATGTCCTGTAACCAGATTGCCATACCTGATGGAACCTGCAGACGAAAGACTGGCATACCCTTCGTCCCTGTCACCCTTGGATCCTGCGCCGCTCTCCCGTCTCTTATGGCCTAACCGATCACCCATGAAGCTTCCCACAGCGCTGTGTCCGTATTCTCGAGGGCTGTAGGACGAAGGCTCTCTGTGGTAGGATCCTCGATGCTCGTCATGTTGCTCGTTGACGTCAGGCAGAAAACGCGGAGGAGGCAGCGGCGGAGGCGGCGCATCCATGAGATCTGAGGTGCCAGGGATAGACATAGCAACCGACGAGGAGTATATGCCGCGAGGTCCGGACCGCTCATGGTTGTGATAGCGATCAGGGGGGGTCGAGTCTATAAAGATGGCAGGTGTAGGAACCCTGCGGGCTCCCTGTGCCGAGGGGGGGCTGTCATGTCGACTCGCGTGTTGTTGGGTCCAAGAGATGGGCTCGAGGGACGTTGATGACAAGAGACGGGGCAGTCGTGGCTGAACTAGAGATCTAGGATGTGCAAGGCGGAGGCGACATGGGAGGACTCGGAGGCCTTTCGGTGTAGAAACGAAGTACTGGTCGGAGTGGACTGCTGCTCTAGGGTTTGGCTTCGCTTTGGTGGCGGGACTCGAGGTTCTTTGTACCAGTGTATGCTTTTTGCGCTCCTTTGGCACGACGAGGAGAGTTGTTGCCTGTATAGCTGACGGTAACGGTCACGAGCGTTCCAGAAAAAAGGGTTGACGGTCGTCGAGTCGTGGCTGCAGGCGGTTGCCTCGTGCGCGCCGAGTCGTGGTAGGTAGCGTATGAGTGTCCGTCGTCAGCAGCGGCAAATTGTCCTGGGGCGGACCTAGTTGCTGTGTGTGGCTTATAGGCCGACAGCGATTCAGCTGATGAAGGGTGACAAGAGTACGAGGAGGCGAATTTGACGAGGACAGTCAGGCCAGGGTCGTCAGGGTCACCACCGATCTAGGAAACCTTGATTATCCCTCTTATACGCGTGTGCTATGTTCGGGTGTGAGGGCGACTGGAGGCCTTTCGACGTCAAGGTGCTGGTGGATAAAGTCGAGGGAGGAAGACGAGGAGTCGTGCTTTCGAGGCGAGAAAGGATGGGAAAGAAACAAATGATATGGGATGATGGCGTGGCTGGCCACAGGAACCAAGTGTACTGGAAATACCTGGGGCAAAGGAGGGAAGGGGGGGGGGTACGCCTTCTGAAGAATGCATCTGGCGACTGTCATTAGGAACCGAACGTACTACAGAGACAGAACCTCGCTGCGGACGGGCCAGGGCAGGTGGATGCTCGTGTGGGCACAGGGATTGAACACCCTACCAACTGCG